CGAATATTTGCGAGCTGCCTCGGCCAAGTGATTGTTTCGAGGATTATAGCGCGAGTCGGCGAACAAGCCCGCGATCGTTTGAAGTTAAGTCAAATTGAACTGTTTTTGAAGTAGTTTGATTGAGCAACATGAAAAGCGATTCCACTTGAAGCTCCAAACTCGACAAGGTCTCGAAAGAGCATGCTGGCAGGGCTTCAAATGAAAGTACGAACTCGCGTTGGCTCGTTTCACCGGTTCGTTTTCGACGCGATGCAGGCGCGGGGGAGTAAAACGGAGCTAGCTCAACTGAGGGAATGGGAAATGAGCAATGTAAAATTTAATCTTTGACGATCGCGCGCGCTCGCACATCGGATTGGCTGTCATTTATTTGGTTCGTTGGCGAGGCTGGCAAAAAACGGGGAGCTCGCGCCAAATGGGTCCGATGCATTGTTAAAAGGCTGCACGAGCACTAGACAAGGGCGTTATTGTTCGGCCGATCGCTGCGCCCTGGGATCGAGCAGAATAGGAGTTTGTCAAACAAGCGTTTCTCGGTTTGATTTATCGGCCAGGCGGTTAAATTATCCGAAAGTAGCCGCGAGTATAGCGGCCGATAGATCATATCGCTGCACTTCCTGAATTGTAGGTAGCCAGCTCGGTTCGCTTGCTCTCTATCCGCGCGTGCCCCGTGCAGTTGCCAATTGACGATGATTTGTGCCGCCGTGCTAAGAATCTGGAAATGCACGCGCCGTGAAAGAGGGCGGGGGCGTTGGGACGGAGAGTGAAAACCGTGCTGCAAGAATCCATTAAAATGAAAATAAAACGTCCCACGGACGAAAGAAAGCAAACGCCCGGTGCTGCGGTCGCGAGGGCCATGGCTAAGCGAGCAGTGGCGCGGCGAAAAAAGGAAAAATCGTGAGCTTCAATCGACTTGGCAGAAAAATCACGAGCTGGTGCGAAAATCCGCAAAAATAAAAAGGAAAAAAAAGAAAGGACAGCCAAAAGAGAGAATGAGAGAGGGAGAGGCGAGAGCCAGAAAAAGCCGCGCGTTAAAGTTTCAAGCGCGACCAATAATAATTCACACTTTAATGGATTCTTGCTCTCTTTCCCTGGCTCTCTGGCTGTTCTCCGACACGGGAGAGCGAGAGCTTCTAATATTGGCGGGCTCACGTGACGTAGAATGCCCTAGCGTGGGTGGAAAAGGCGGGGAATTGGGGGAGGGGGGTGCTTAACTGTAGGTGTATTTGTGCGTGCCGTAGGGTGGGTACCGAGCTCGAGCAGGCAGTTTGGTCCGCTAGTTGCTTACATTAGCATACGAATGGCCGATCGATCCCGCGGCGCTGCTGCTACTGGTGCTGCTGATACTGGTGCTGCTGCTGCTGCTGCTGCTGCTACTGCTGCTGCTACTGCTGCTGCCTCTGGTGCTCTCCTCGGTGACGGCGACGGCGACGCCGGTGATCGGCTTATTCTGACTGGCAAGTGCAGTTGAAGAAAAGACCGTAGATCAACGCGTGAAAGCCTCGAGAAAATGGAAGCTCGGCTCTCGGGTTGCCAACGGCTATCCTATGACCAAATGCCGCCAAGCGTTTTCAGTTCGCTCTCTGCCTCGGTCGGCGGCAGCGTTTCGGACTCGTATGCGTACGCTACTTTCGTCAGCGAGAGAGGGAGAGGAATTCGCCTCAGTTGCACGCGCTTTGAAGCCACGAGCAGCACATGCTAACGCAGTTAGCCAGCACTTTGCCAGCAGCAGCCGACGCTAACAACGTTTAGACAGCCCCGCTTGTCCTCTTCTAGCCACTTACCTTGGCATCCTTCTTCCCCCCGAGCTCACTAAGTCTCCAGAACGACGCGTATGTACACTCCGAGCCTGCACACTTTCGCCCTCGTTCTTTCTTTTTTTTTTCTTTCTTTCTTTCTTTCTGCCTTTCTTTCTTGCTCTTCGCTCGCACGCGTGCCAATTTTTTCGACGGAACAATGTCTGCCTTTCGCTCTCCTTTTTTAATATTTCCTCACTCATCGACTCCTCTTGTTTTCCTTCCTGGTTTTCTCTCTCTCTCTCTTTCTCTCTCTCTCTCTCTCTCTCTCTCTCTCTCTCTCTCTCTCTCTCTCTCTCTCTCTCTCTCTCTCTCTCCCTCTCTCTCTCTCTTCCACCCTCGTTGTCTGTGCTCTAGTTGCGTGTGTTCTCGAAAGCCCCTCTCGCTCGTTTCATGAATAATAAAAAGATAGAAGAGTGCTCTCATGCTGCTTGCTGCTCCTTCTAACGCGATCGTTTACCCTGAGAGGCCAATGTTTTTTCATTCTCGGCTTGGCCTCTCCACCCACCTTCCTTCACGCCTTCCTCCCTCCCGCCTTACCACGCTGCTCCCATTGATATGGATATGCTTATTGACTGTCGACAGGTAAAAAAATTGCCAATTAAAGTTCGATAAAAATTCAACGGCAGCCAGCTGGCGTGTGATCGAGAGCCAAATGGTTGTAGCACGCGTAATAAGCAGTTTTGTCATCATCAGTCTGTGAGGCCTGCCGCCACTAATCAGCCGAGCTGTGATCCAAATGCGAGCGCAAACGCTTTGAGCTGCAGCCTCGCTTGCTTAATGGCCTCCGACCGGCTGTTTACCTCCTCGGCGCTCTTTGAAGAACCCGCGCGCATACACACGAGACCATTCATCAGAATCCACTATTTGCACCGACCTATCCTCTTTTTGAGCCTGCGTGCGCTTCGATGTCTATATGACCGCGCATCTTCGTGCGCATGCGCAATTGCAATTGAAATCGAGAAAACGATTGCGTCGGTCAACCGAACTAATTTCCCGAGTACGGGCTCTTGTTAAGCAAAGTACGCGCTTGCAGCGGATCACTCACTATACCCGATAAATGCGGCTCGCCACTCGTAGCTACAAAAGAATCTCAAGTACTTTATCCAGCCGTAAACGCCGTTAAATCCGCGCCGGCGCGTGTTTTCTTTGTGAGAAGTTGGCCGAGTTACTCGACAACATTTCGCTATTGCAGGCTCTCTCCCTCTCTCCCTCTCTCTTCGCTCTTTGATCTCGTGTGACTGCTTGTGATCTTTATTTTTTTTTGTCCTCACCTGCTTTATTTGCGTAGCAAAGATGCTCTCGCGAATGAATAATTGAAGGCTAACCCGGAATGATTGAAGCGAAAGTAAAAGAGAGGATATAGGTGTGAGAGATGCAGCTGCATTTTTCTCAGCAGGCGCGCGAAGCGATAGAGCTGTGTAAGCAGCTTGATTGATGTTCAGTTGCAGTCAGCCAGTGTATTCAAAGCTATTATTGTTGTGAGCTTGCTTGAATGGCTGCTTCTTTTTTCGGCGCTCTTATTTTTCTCTGTCGTCAGCAGTGCCATTCGCGCGGGAAAAAAAGAAGAAAAAAAAGAAAAGAAAAAAGAAAAAAAAAACAAGAAAGAAAGAAAGAGTGAGAGCGAGAGAAAGAGAGTCTAACTTATAACCTTTTGGCTGTCATTCTTGTGAAATCGTCCGGCACACGGTGATATGTTTTCAATGCCCTGCCGCTATATATCCTGATTCGTCACTGATCTTCTCGCTTATCTCGCACTTTACTTCCCTCTGCTTCTTCTTCTTTCTTCGTCATTTCTTACGCTGCAGCTATCGACGCGCTTATTAAATGTATGTAATCTCGAAGGCTCTCTCAGAGTCGCGATCGTCGCGGTTGTCGAACATCAAACTTCTTTTCCTTTCTAAACGATTTACAGCTATATTTTTGCACCGTCAGAACAAAAAATAAAGTGCAGATCCTAAAAGGATTCGTTGCAGTATAAAGCCGCAAACGCAGCATACGGTATTGAAGACTGACATTGGTAATCGAAAGGGAGGCATTGAGAATTGTTATTTATTGTCAGTGGCATTGGCATATAGGCGGCAAGGAGCGGCGATCAAAGCGGCGGGAATGCCGGATCGAGTGAGAGAGAGAAAGAGAGAGAGGGGGGAAGAAAGAAGTAGAAAAGGAAAGGAATGAGCTCGACTAAAGAAAGAAGGAGTGGCTTGGGTGCAATACTATTCAATTTTTTAGCGATATTGAATTTCAATAGGATTCTCGGCTTGAGTCTGCTGGAGCTGCGCATCAATATCCACACTAAGAGACTAAGCTGCAAAGTCGAGGAAGCCTCGAAAGCTTTTTCTTCCTTTTTTAGCCTTCCCCTCAGCATCTTTCTACAAATGGAAGATGGACAGAGGCGAGCGTAACTTCTTGTCCTGTGGGAGTCCTGCGAGGGAGAGCGGAGGCGCGACTCCGCAGAGGAAAATACAAGCGTTAACTGTGGCGACGGGTAGCGCGGAGCGACGGTCCTCAAGCGATTCGCATTGAACATTTATTCGCGATGCCCGACTCTGAGACAAATTGTCCATCAATACCGACACCGTCGAGACCTCCATATAACCTTTCTCAAAATTTGTTTCATCAAATCTGTACAAGCGGGTGTCCAAGTGAAGCCTCGTAGAAGGCCAACTTGCTTTTTTTTCGAGGGAGTCTATTACATATTGCGCCACCTACTAATATACTCAATATTTCCACGATTACCACGAACGCTCGACAGAGTGCCCTCCGCTGCCCCCACTCCCCACTCACTCTAGTTGTAAACCGAGATTTTTACCGTACTACGAGTTGAATGACTGGCGGCGCCGCTCGTCTCGAGACTGATCTTTGACCTCTCTTCTCGCAGAGAGGTAAAAATAAATTTTAAATATGCCAGTTTATAACGTAAAATCGATTCCTCGTGTACTACTTGTCAATCATTCAACTGTTTTACTTGCCGATACACATCCAGCAGCGTACAGCGTCTTAATTGCAGATGCTGCGATGATTTTATTATCGTAAACATTTATGTTAGAAATAAAGCATAAAACGTGATTTTCGACCTTAATAAAAAAAAGCGATCAAAGACATTCGGGGCAATCAGAATTATTGAAATTAAATAAATATCGGAAGGGAGGTCTTAAGCGAATTCTGCCGTTTCAGCGGACCAACTACCCCAGGGCTTTCCGATGATCACTCAAGCACCAACGACCAAAGTTACGGAGAAAGGGCACAACGCTATGCTGTCGTGTTCGGCGGTCGGCTCGCCGCCACCCATTATTTCTTGGATGAAAGATATGCTACCAATTGACACCTCAAATCCCCGTTACACCGTACTGCAGTCCGGTAAGTCTCGCTCTACGCAAGTTCGTCACGCATCCCAACCCCCACATTACGTTAATAAGCTAATTCGAGTACGCGCGTGCGTGCGGCCAGGTTCGCTTCAAATATCAGAGTCAGAGCCATCGGATCAGGGCAAGTACGAGTGCGTGGCCAGCAATTCCGTCGGCACCGAGTACTCCAAGTCGACGATGCTCTACGTGAAGAGTAAGTGTATCTCTGAGCGTGGCTAGATTTGCTTTGCTCGGTGGGTTCGCGATGGGTTAGTTAAACGTTAATGCGAACAGTGCGCCGAGTGCCGCCGCAATTCTCGATACCGCCGGAGCCGCAGTTAAAGGTCACGCTGGGCTCGTCGTTAAACCTGACCTGCGTGGCCGTGGGCTCGCCGATGCCGTACGTCAAGTGGCGCAAGGAGCCAGCCGTGGATCTTACGCCCGACAACCAGATGCCGCCCGTCGGCAGGAACATGCTGCAACTGACCAACATCCAGGAGTCGGCCAACTACACGTGCATCGCCCAGAGCGAGCTTGGCATTATCAACGCCACCAGCCACGTGAAGGTCAACTGTGAGTACCGCTCAGGCACGGGAGCGAGAAGATTGGTCGAATAATTGCCTCTTTTATCTGTCGATTAAGCGCTGCCGCTTGCCCCGGAAAAGGTGCAAGTCTCGGAGATCACTGCCACTTCGGTGAAACTTTCGTGGTCGTACAAGGCGCCGGATCAGCTCGCCTACTACGTCATACAGCACAAACCGAAGCACGCCAATCAAGCGTACGCCGAAATCTCGGGCATTACCACCATGTACTATCAAGTGCGTAACCTCAGCCCCTACACCGAGTACGAGTTCTTCGTGAGTGCCGTCAATGAGATTGGCCGTGGACCGCATAGCGCGCCGGTCCTCGTTACCACCGGCGAAACCAGTCAGTATTTGCTTACCCGATTCTTTTCAATCTTGATCAAATCCAAACTGTCTGTTGGTTTTTCATTACTAACCACTTTCCAGTTTGCTTTTTATAAATTTCATTCCCCTGAAACTTTACTTTTTCCATCCACTTTTTCCCCACCTACTTTTTCGCCGCAGTGTTCGATTAGGAACGCACTTTCTTTTGATTTTTTTGGGGAGGGAACGAACAAGCCAGTGGAAAAGTCCAATTTTTTTTCCCAGCACGTTCGGCGTGTCATTTTTCTAATGCTTTTCTACCTCTTTTTCCAAATACCTTTGAAAGACAAATAATTTTTCGAAGCGACTTTTTTTGAGGAAAATTTTGCATTTTTTTTTTCATGCCGTCAACCGCGGACTCGATTAATACACGTAAGTGACTCAATATGCATTTTTGGTAGTTTATGCAAAAGCACTCATCCGACTTAGTGGTTTTCTCTTTTTTGCACTTTTATATTTTTTATCTCGTTAGAGATAGTACTGTCGATATATTGATTGGTTTTTACCAGTTTTTGCACACTAATTCTCTTCCGTTTTCGAGCACCAATAGTTGTTCGGCGTTAACATGCCAACGGCTAGTTAGTCATATGAGTATAAAAGTAATTTGTAGATAAAGTATTGGCTGTTGACATAATGTTTGATTTCGTGTATATGTGAACAACAACGACAATCGTTATTCATCTAATTCTCGTTCACACTTACACAAGCTACAAGCCCCACAAATAAAATAATCCAAAATAATAATCAACCAACTATTTTTCATTTAGCGGAATCAACAAATGGAGGTGCCAGTAAGTGAAAGTCAACTTTTAAGAGTGCTTTAGTCATTTTTATTTGTCTGACTCTTATTTTCATTCAGCAATGCCAATAAAGTCGGATAGAACCGAAAATTGTACGAAAAAATAACGTTGAACCATTACATGAACAGTTTTATCAGACTTTGAGTCTTACAATTTTTATGTTCTTAATGTTTATGTGTATTGCACATTGTAGTTGTAGTAAAGCAAAAGCGCGAATAAACGATCCTAGTAATCGGTTAGTCAACAGAAACAACATTCTCGCACAGTAACAGTTTGAAGCGTTGAGTTTTTGTTTATTTTGTAAAGTACGTTTGAATAAGCTAAAAGACGAATGAAGACCGGTGCAAATGAAGTGGCGTCGTTTTAATTTTCTTTAGTGTGGAATGTGAAGATCGAACGAATAAAATCGACGATGAAATAGCACGAGTGAAAAGTTAATTTGCAATTGTGTTGCAGCACCGGGAAGCGCGCCACGCTCGGTGCAGGTTCGGCCGCTGAGTTCAACGACAATGGTAATCCAATGGGACGAGCCGGAGACACCAAACGGCCAAGTGACGGTGAGTACTCCGAGACCGAGGCATTCCGGGGCTGATCGACTTATCGATGCGCGACGGCAATTTGGCAGGGCTACAAGGTCTACTACACGACGGACCCGGGCCAACCGATGTCCAACTGGAAGTTCCAGACGGTGGACAATAGCCAGCTAACGACAATCTCCGACCTGACGGCTCACGTGATCTACACAATTCGCGTGCAGGCGTTGACGAGCGTGGGACCAGGTCCGTTGAGCGCCCCGGTGCAGATCAAGACGCAGCAGGGCGTGCCCAGTCAGCCGGAAAAGCTGACGGCCGTGGAGGTAGGCGAGACCAAGATCACGCTCACCTGGAACAAGCCTTCGCACAGCGCGGAGAACATCCTCAGTTACGAGCTCTACTGGAACGACACCTACGCCAAGGTTCGGTTTCGCGCTCCGGTGGGTGTCGCTGGCTAGAGCCGACGAGTTTTGCCTGTCGCAGGAGAAGCACCACCGCAAGATCCCCGTGACCGAGAACTACACGCTGAGCAACCTCTACCCCAACACGCTGTACTACGTGTGGCTGGCGGCGCGCAGCCAGCGCGGAGAGGGCGCCACCACCATTCCCATACCCGTGCGCACCAAACAGTACGGTAAGCAAACGGCAGCGAGACGAGCAGACACGCACGGGCGCGCCGCGCGCCCGCTCCGGCTCGTAATCGCCACTCGCGGATCGAGCCGGCAGCGCCGGCCGCGGCGCCCCGACAGGTGAGCCTTCCTCTCTAGCCCGCTGTGAGCGGCCCTCCCGAGACGAGCGACAGCTGCACGGCAATCTCTCACGTGTTCGCCGCTTTCTCTCTCTCTCTCTCTCTCTCGCGGGCGCAAGTTTATGCGCAGTATGCTCCGGCCGCCTTATCGAGCGCCGCTGTAGCTGATGCTCTGCACGCTGCCCTCGTCCGGGAGAGCTGTCACTTAGTCAACAGCCCAGCAATTCACAGTTTCACAGTAGATTATATCACGTCAAGCTACAGTCGAAGCTTCTTTTGGTCACCGATTAACTTGATTCACGTATAGAGCACCATGATTATTGTCGAAAGCACCCATTCAATAAGATGAATACCCGTGGGAGAGTGAGAATGATTGCAACTTGCATGAATTTTATACAATATATAAATGCCACTTCTTTGGATTTGCTATAATACTTCGTATAAACATATCTATCTATATATATAGATCTACATTTTTTACATTCACATTTACATTTACATGTATATCTATATTATATCTCTCGCTATATCTATATATACATACGCTCTTATATGAAATTGCACAATTACTGAGCACTGCAAATACGTAAATCGATGTGTGTGTATGTGTATGTGCGTACGTTATGGCACCCCTCGTCTTACAATGGTAGTATTGTTCTTTTTTTTTCTTTTTTTATCTTCCTCTCATTGCAATAACGTTTACGAGATTTCACTTTGCGATGAATCAGTCGAAACGCGCTGCGGAACGTTGAATTGGAAGAGTCACCGTGAAAAATAATCGAAATTAAGAATGATAAATAGGCGGTATGAGGATCGGAAGTTGACGGTAGGGTGTTCTATAATCGAGTGTTATACAGTCCCCGGGGCACCACCTCGCAACGTCAGCGGTCATCCGATCAGTCCAACTTCAATACTGGTCAAGTGGGAGCCACCTCCAGCCGAACGGTCAAACGGCCGTATCGCTTACTACAAGCTACATTACGTGGAGACCGGTCGTAGCGACTCCGAATCCACGATTATAACCCTCAACCAGACGGAATTCGTGCTCGACGAGTTGAGCAAGTGGACCGAATACAGGATATGGGTGGTCGCCGGTACCAGTGTTGGCGACGGACCACCCAGCTACCCCATTACTGTCAGAACTCACGAAGATGGTATGTATGATCCTACGACAACAGCCAAATAATTTAACAACTACCGACCGACTACTTAACTTTTTCTCATCGATTTGCTCGATCTTATCCGATAAGCCATTATAAGTCCTTGCGCGCTTACAACGGTCTTTCTCACTTGGAAGTCGTATTTGTACTTTGCAATATTGGCATTTCGATTGTGCATCAAATTACGTTTAAAAAGACCCCGAGGTAACAGAAAACAAACTCCCAAGCGAGAAGATATCTCGAGACACTTAGGCAGCAAGATACAATTTTTCTCAAGAGCCAAAAATATAAAAGCCCGCCAAAAATTACATCACCTGTCTAATTCATACTGCGCATTAATGGCATAAGCATTTCTAGAAGTATGGATCCTCCAGTTTCTAGTGTTTTATTCTTTGCGTTTTTTCATATTTTGTAATATTATTTCTCCATTTTTCTCGATTAATCTCGTTCGCAATCATTTTTAAACGCGCATTTTTTCGAACACTTTTTTTTGTATATATTTTTGGAAACAAGATTTTTACTCGAGATTTTTTTATGAAAAGGATATTTTTTGGCTGGCATGGTTTATATTTTTGGAATTTTTGTAACCATGTTATCACATAATTTTTGCCCGTCAAGAAGATATTTGCAGGTTTTTTGCAGCCATGGATTTTGATTTGCTGATAATAATTTTTGAGTCAGCTAATTTTTTCAATTTTCAGGATTAATGGTTTTCGTAGTTTCATTTTATATAGATTGAAATCGCTGCCGTGTCTATTAATTCTACATTGGTCGATATGTACCATCATTGTTTTTTTTTATAATTTAACCATTTTTTCTTTCATTCATCAAAGCGCTTACAGGAGCGGATGTTCCAGGTTTCGAATATTAAAGTTCCTAGAATTAAGTTTTTTCAATATAAATTAAGTAGGGATTTGGACCGTAACAAAACTCATTTAATATTCGCTGTTTATTTAACATAAGTTAATTGTAAGTATGTAGTAATACGCCATCAACTTTTTACAAAAAAATAAACAACAGAGCATAGCTCAGCTTATTGACAATCAATTTTGCTGCAATGAAAGTCACAGTTCCAATATACTTTACACCATAAATATCAGAAGTTGGCCAATACTACAAATACAATTACACAGTTCACACTTATTTTAACTTTGCTTAAAACACGCAAATAAGAATATTAGCATTGCTAAATTAATAATACCTTCGACTTCGCGTTTGAATTTATAACTGAATGCAATAAGTAACATATGTAGAGGATTTTCTAAATTAAAAATAATCTTATATTAATTTACATGCTTATTATCATATATTAATTAACATATCCTCTGATTTGTGTGTTTATTCATTCGTAAAGCTATACTACTCTAAAAGTAACTGTACCTTTCTATGCAAAGTTGTTTCATTATACTATATGACTAAAATCTAAATCTCTAATATCTTTATAAATTTAGTTTTTATTGTTTGTATATGTTTAGAGCATGATATATTATTTTATTTATCTTCTACTATCGCCGTCTGTTTGAACTGATAATAAAATTGGAGATTCGTTTAAGAATTCTATCGTGACTTCTAGTAAATTATAAAAAATGATCATATCTACCGGAACATGCTAAGCTCCACCAAGTATTTTTCTAAGACGTTATTGATTTTCTTTTATTTTCGCCAAACTTTTCAAAAGTTTAATGAAGGCTGAGGCAGAATCTAATATTTTTAAACCAGTGATAATGTCAAAACTTGAAATGAATGTCTAAGTACTGATTCACGCAGAAAAATAGAAATGGTTTAAACTAAAAACTAACACAAATAAACAAACTTTCTAAAAGTTTGGCGAGATATTTAGGTTTATGAAATTAACTTGGCTTTGAGTGACTATTTGCGGTACTTTTTACGGCATATACAATAATACGGATAACTTTTAATCCGTTTTTCGGGCACATTATTATAATAAATACACCGTAGATGAATATTTGTACACTAAAGCACTATGTGTCGTTATTTCTTTTACGTGTACGTTCATGCGTACATACTCGTATAAATATATGTGTATATTCTGGACGAACTTCACCTTACGCGACACCACTGCACTCACTAACTTTTCATCGCTTTAAGCGCCGCACCCCTATCACTTAATGTCACGTGTAATCGATGGACAAAATTTACAAATATTTTACTGTATGATTGTAGATTCAACGTATTTCAATAATAATTGTTCACGCTCTTGGGCACTTTCGCACCGCACGTAGGTTTCTGCACAATCAACAAAATAAAGCAAAGAAAAGCGGCTTTTGCCCAGATTTAGGAAAAATATTCTCGCTGCTTGTTTAATTAACCAAGCAGTTTTTTCTGAGGAAAATAGTGAAGGGGTCACTGTTGCGATGAATATAATTAAAGAATAATCAATTCACACGCAATGGTCACCAAAATCTGCTTATGCGTTTTACAATAAATAACGTTGCAAAGTATGTCATCATGTACATATTTCAATTTCACTTTCCTTGTAATAGATAATGTAGCAATGAACCGTGTGATAATGAATAGATTTTAAATATTTTGAAGACATACTATTTGTAACGTCACAGCTCGTAAATTTATGCACCACTACAATCATGCAAAAGTTCGTGTTGATAAAATAAAAATTGTATAGTCACATACGGTGTTTACATCTGATAAAATATTGCACCTAATTCGTAAGTACCAAGCACTAAATGCAAATAAGCAGCAGCACCGAGTATGGTCAATGCACCTTCACAAGTAGGCGCACATAATAAAAATATGAGAAATAACGAAAGGCATAGCACATTATATCTTGTCTCGCACAAATCTTCGTGTTTGCGTGCTCGTACCTAATGTTTTTTATAAATATATATATATATATATATCAGTACACTAAAAGTCGAGCTAGCAAGAGAGTGAGTTATATATAATGGTGCGTAGACAGAATAAATGAGATACGTGTGAATGTAAGAGAAAAAGTAAGCTTACATGGCAACTTCAAGAGTACAATTGTGTATTTTTCAAAAGTTATGTCTGAATAGAGAATCAAACATCTTGACAGATACATGTTTGAATTTTGAACGAAATTTACAGTTTATTTTTGACTCGTCGTCGGCAAGCGTCCTTTCAAGTAAGTTACTTGCGTAGTTTTACTTACGTACGCATAACCAAGAACCCAAGGGAATCTACACCGACCTCGGAAGGATGCTCAAAAGTTTCAAGTAGGCTTCGCCCTTCCTAGTCGACTGCGACACTAACAACTTATTTTTTTGCGGGCAGAACGTGCATTAATTTTTATAATATAATGTTAAATTTCAAATAATATAGTATTAAACTCTCGGTAGCTCAATGGGTAAGAGCACATGTTCCTGTGCAAGAGGTCGCAGGTCCTTCAAACCCTGAGCGTGTGAAAATTTTCAGAAATCGAATTTTCATGTGCTTGTTATGAAAAAATTCTCTTCCTACAACCTATTAGAGAGGCTAGTTGTATATCTATCATGATTATAGGGAACCAAGACTAATGCGTACAGATACCTATTGTATTTCTATATCGTTCAAAATGAACGCAGTTTTCAAAATTACAATATGATAAAATTTTTAAATTCACAGAAATACGAAATCCAACTTTATATTGAACGTAAAAATAATCTATTTAATAATCTCCTCAAATTATACCATTTACAAAGTAGAAAATCTATAGGTCAGATTTCAATTATAATGGCATTGTTGATCTGAAGCATCAACAACTATTCATATTAAAAATCATTTCTGTAATTTATGTTTTTATCATAATCTCGTATAAATGAAGATTAACATAAATATAGTTTACTTAGCAATCTAATGAAATGAAGCACGTGTCGATAAAATTACGAACTCTTGCACTGCTAATTTAAATCATCGGCGAATCATTTACATTGGGAATCACCTTTGTATTTGATACGTATTTGTTTTAGTATCCTGATTTCGTATTTTCTCGCTTTATCGTCAGAAAATTATTTACAGTGTTTATTTAGTGAAAAAATTCTGCCATGAGGATATAAACTGTTTAGATGTAAAAGCATCCGAGGGTAAATGTTAAACTTGCCCTGGTATAAAAGAACAAAATAGAAATGGCGTTTAATGGTGTTCCGCGTTCAATAAACAACGAAAAATCGATGAAAAGTTTCTTTTAGTATTTTCATTAGTGAGATATCTACTTTTGTATGAAACGTAAAAAACGCTTTACTGCAGAAGTACAGAATGGAATTGACAATATCGAGAATGGCCGACGACGACGTCTCAATTTTACCAGGTTCAAGGATTACGAGTGGTTCACATTTGAATACCAATAGATAAAATTAACTATACTATTAATTTAGTTAATCGATGATTATTTCTTGAAAAAAGACAGCTTTAAAATTGAAAACAAAAGATATCAATAAGTCTGGTAGAAATGTATTTAGGGATAAATTATAAATATAAAAAATATGTTAGAACAATTCTAGTCACGTTATTACTACTGTTTTTTCTTGAGCTTTAGGTAAATATCATTTCAATAAAATTATGTAATTAAAAGAAATCTTTCATAGCAACGAATGAGTGCAATGTAATCATTTCAAGATATCTTAACCGATAAGGTCACAAGCAGTTCATTAGGGTAATATAGTATTTATAGACATTAACTTTTACATTTGTAATAAACATAAATATTCCGAATCTTCTCTCATTTCAATCCTTTGGAACTACGAGCGTGCGAGTGTAACTGGAGCAAAGAATTTTTTTGAAAACATTCTGTAATTTTTGTCACTCGCCACGTGCCATATTTTTCGACAAATGGTTTTTGTTTCATAACTTTCCAAAAATGATCTACTTTCAAAAATACAATTTTGCTGTATAAATTTTATGAAGACTTTCCACTTTATTTTGTGCATTCTTTTCAATTATTGATATTTGTACTTACAAAAACTCTCAGTAGAATCACTGCATCATCAAAATAACAGTTTTTTTGTAAGGAAATAACATTTTTTTACGTAAAACGCTAATAATAACTATTGTTTTGATGATGATTGACGGCCTTTAGTTCTTTAATAACATTCTTAAAGTAGTGATTGCGCATGTGAAAAGAAAAGGAATCGATATTCTCACGTCTCCCGCCTGTACAATAAGATCAGAACTGTATGCTTACCGGAGTACTCAATAATGAATTGAATAATTTAAAAAAGTTTTTCGATACGTATACCTACATCAAACGTCTCGTTGAGTGAACAACCATCAGATGTCCGGGTTCAACAAATTTTTCAATTCTTATAATATTAATATTTACATTTTTAATGTACAAGTGTTTTACTTACGTTCAGACGAGACGGTTGGAATTTTATGATATTAAAACTAAGATACAATTGAAACTTTTACTCTTCATAAAATTTTTATCAAAATAACAGTCTACATATATCGACTGTAAGCAGAACTAAACCAAATGACTTAAGCGTAGAAATATGTCAAATCTAAGTAATTATATTAAAAATATAATATAGATTAACCAATCTACATGAAACAATAAATACATATTACTAGTTGTAGAGCGAAAGAATTTTTTTGAATACGTTTTTGGAAATTCTCTAAAACAGAAAAAAAAACAATTTTTGATGAAATTTTTTCTCTTTTCAAATATTGTGGCGACTTTTGCCGGTCCAGACTATGAAAGTGAGTATTTATCTCAAACATTTTTGTCTCTCTGTTCGTCTCTAGTTTTTGCAAATTTTTTATGTATTTTTATATTTTTTCACATATTTTTGATGTTGGATGAGGAATTTTTGCGAGACGAATAATTTTACTAACTTTTGTTTTTTCATTTAATTTTTCCGAATCAAATTTTTTATTAGCAGTATGAAAACGACCACTATTTTTTTTTAAATTAGTTAGGCATTCAAGAAATGGATGATTTTTTTATTCCAATGCCTTGATTAGATTACGGGGTGATGTAAAATATAACGACAATAATGGTGAAAGCGACCTCGAGAAAATCAGGAATTTTTATTATTAAGAAAATATAATACATCGTTATATTTGTCCTTATATTTGTCGAGGAAACATCCTCTTCGTGTCAAATTTTACAAAATATCAACACTTGTAAACATTACGTACATCAGGAAATTCCGTAAACTCTAACTATCCAATAAAAATAACGCGAATATTATCTCTTGCGAATAATTTTTCTGAACACCATTCTACTAATTTACATTGTGTTGTGATTTTACATACTTTTTGATATTTAGTAAATGTATAATTTAATCAGAATAAAAAGTATATGTTTTGTACATACTAAGAAAAGAGAATAAGCTATGACTCTAGCTGTTGTAAATAATAATGTTTGAACGTTCTCGCTAATTGATTGTGCAAACACAGCTTTTGCAAGTACACGCAATTCATTCATCACAATATTTTTACATATTAGTTCGTTAGGAAAATAGCTTTTTATTCAAATATGAACTTATCGATCAACCATTTTTCAAATGAACCTTATGGCTCTTATTGTAATCGGCGGCATTCGTATAAGCAAATGAGAAAAGTCATCAAAATCTAACATACTGATTCAGTTAAATGTTATCTGATCAATCGATAGGATGGGACCATGATACATATATGTATAATATCGAAATGAATCGAAGATCACATATATTATTGGTATTCAAATGGAAATGATGATTAAAAACTAAATTTCCGAAATTGAGCAAATCTCGCTGTTTCAAAATTAACAGCCTACGTACAAAATTCCTCGATGTGAATGAATGCTACAGATCTATTCATTTTCTCTATTTTTAATTTTTATTGCTTTGTTATCCTTATTACGAGATAGTGGATTTTTAATATATACATTTAATTTTTGTTTAATTTGCATAATATCTATTTAGTTAGTAATGTATAATCCAGTAAATTTATTTACATATTGATTTGTTTCAGTATTCCTTACCAAAGTGCCGTCCATCTAATTTGCCGCCTATTTATTATTATTATCATTATTATTATCATTATTATTATTATTATTATTATTATTATTATTATTATTATTATTATTATTATTATTATTATTATTATTATTATTATTTTAATTATTTTAGTGTAGTTCTTAATATTATTAGCCTACATTATTATAGTTAAAATAATATTAAAAAGTTTGGTTATTTTATTTTTGTTGGTAAAAAAAGACGTATAATTTTAGAATGAATCTTGAGAAAGAGTACGTGAGAGTATTTATGAAAACGAATGAATGTTGAATAAAAGGGAAATGCAAGTGATGAGCATAGTTAAACTTGAAGCACGTAGAAAGTGCGAGAGGGAGAATCAGAAAATGAATGAGAGTATGCGTGTGTCAGATACACGTAATGATAGAGAAAGTAACTGAAACTAACGTATGCTTTGGAACCGATTTGCAGTACCGGGAGACCCACAGAACGTGACGGCTCAGCCAATAAACTCTACAGCAGTGCACGTCAGGTGGGAGCCACCTAAACTTAAAGAGCGCAACGGCGTTATCCGCGGTTATCACGTGCACGTCCAGGAGGTTCACGAGGAGGTAGGTGCTCGTCCGCGATAAATGAGGAGGCGTACGTAGCATTGAACCACATTCGACGCCTTACAGAACAATCGCCAGCTCGACGAGCCAATCCGTAGCATTATTCTCGAGGAGAACGTGTTGTACGCGAACGTGAGTGGCTTGCAACCCGACACCAGCTACTCGGTGCAGGTGGCCGCGCTCACAAGGAAGGGCGACGGCGCGAGATCCAAGCCGGTCGTCGTTAAGACCCCCGGAGGTGTGCCCTACAGACCCCAAATGAATGTCAAAGTTTTCAATCAGGAGGAGCCTATCAAGATAGAGCTCGAATGGACCAAGCCCAGCGAGACTTTTGGACCCATCCTCGGCTACAGGATACGCTACGGTATCAAGAACCAAACCCTGAAGGAAGAGTTTATAGAGGGTGATGATACTTTCAGCTACAGAATCGAAGACCTTGGTAAGTAGTATTTTCAGTCGGTTGGAAGCTTTTCAATCATATCGCAGGCAAAATATAACTGTTGTTTGTGACCTAACAACCGATTATTATTGCAGAAGAGCGTGGCGTTGACTACGAGTTCCGAGTAGCAGGCAAGAACGCGATGGGCTTTGGCCAGGAACAAGTGCGCAACTGGTACAGTCCAGAGAGCATTCCGACAGGACCACCGCGCAACCTAAGCTACAACTTCCAAACTCCGGACACGGTTTGTGTGAGTTGGGAGCCGCCAAGTATCCATCAACGCAACGGACAGATCATCGGTTACAGTGTGCAGTTCCACAAGCGTCAAGATCACACGAGCGAAGTCAGTCGTAACACGAGCCAGACCCGAGCGGTATTCAGCAATCTCGAGAACGATCAGGAGTACCTTTTCCACGCTAAGGCGTACACTCGCCTCGGTGCTGGGCCCTACTCCGAAAAGATCACCATTCGCACCGACAAGGATATTGGGCGTGCGCCCATGTCACTTAAAGCCATTGCGACTTCAGACTCGAGCGTAGAGGTTTGGTGGGAGCCCGTGCCCAACCGTGGCAAGATTCTCGGCTATCAGATATTCTACACGATGACCGCCGTCGAGGATCTGGATGAATGGAAGCGCAAGCAAGTTGGCCTTACCGAGTCCGCGGATTTGCTGAACCTCGAGAAATTTGCCACTTACGCGGTGGCCGTTGCTGCGCGCCATAAGGACGGCAAGCTCGGCCGGCTCAGCGAGAAAGTTACGGTCAAGGTATCGCCGGACGATGTGCCTCTCAATCTACGAGCACCCGAAGTTTCCACCCACTCGATGAGCCTCAGTTGGGGTCCTCCCATCAAGCTCAACCCCGTCAATTACAAGGTTTCTTTCGACGCGGTCAAGGAGTTTGTTGACTCGCAAGGAATTACCCAAACCCAGCTGATACCCAAGCGAACTCATCTTTTCGAGTCCACAAATCTTGAATGCGACATTAAGGACCTGCAGCCTTTCACTACCTACAACGTGAACGTGAGCGCGGTTCCGGCTGATGGTTCCTATCGACCTCCCTCCAAAATCACCGTCACCACGCAGATGGCCGCGCCTAAACCCATGGTTGGGCCAGCATTTTACGGCGTTGTCAACCATGAAGAAATTCAAGTGATCTTACCCCAAGCCTCCGAAGAATATGGTCCAATATCGCACTACTATCTGATCGTCGTGCCCGAATCTCCTGATACCATTAACAGGCAACCAGACGAGTTTACCGAGGATCAAATCGCTCACTCACACCCTCACTCTCATCATCAGCAGCAGCCACAGCAAATTGGCAAACCCGGCCAAGCTCCTGTCTCCGACAACCGGCCATATATCACTGCTAAATTTCCTCATAGAGACATTCCCTATACCTTTCATCTTGGAGACGGTGGCACCTACGAGGGTTATGTCAACCGCAAACTTGACAAAACTAAAAAGTATCGGATATTCGTGCGAGCGATCGTCGATACTCCCAGAAAAGTGAGTATTTGTTCTCAATTTCATTTTTTATTTCTCCAGAGTAATTAATCGTTAATTTATCGTGTATAGCACCTTTACACATCATCGCCGTTCTCTGAGTGGTTATCCCTTGACATGAGGGCACCTCCTCCCGGTGATCCACCGCGTCGACCGAATCCTGATGCACCACCCGATGGAAATCCTGAAGTTTCAGTCGACAGAAGTGGCCATGAACCTGGCATGGTTTGGGTCGTTGGACCCATCATCGCTGCTCTCATGGTCAGCGTCTGTTTAGTCCTACTGTTCGTCATTAAAAAGTAAGTTATTTTTAATCTCGTTATAAACAAGGATAGTCGAACACAATATAACTTAGAATTTGTATATTCTATTGATAAGGTGATACTTACAATTGCTTTTTTATTTGCAGACGCAGACAACCCTGCAAAGCTCCCGATCAGACAGCGGTAACGCGTCCACTAATGTCGGCGGACATGAGTTCGTCGCACGCGCCTTCGGATCCCGTTGAAATGCGTCGACTGAATTTCCAAACGCCCGGCATGATTTCGCACCCTCCGATCCCTATAAGCGAACTTGGGAATCACATAGAGCGACTGAAAGCTAATGACAATCTCAAATTCAGCCAGGAATACGAGTCGATCGAACCAGGTCAACAATTCACATGGGACCACTCCAACATGGAAGTGAACACTTCGAAAAACCGGTACGCGAACGTAATCGCGTACGATCACTCGCGGGTGATTCTACAGACGATAGAAGGCGTGCCAGGCTCGGATTACATCAACGCCAATTATTGCGACGGCTATCGCAAACAGAACGCTTACGTGGCGACGCAGGGTCCGCTGCAGGAGACATTCGCAGACTTTTGGCGCATGTGCTGGGAGCTGCGCTCTGCGACCATCGTCATGATGACCAAGTTGGAGGAACGCACGCGCATAAAGTGCGATCAGTATTGGCCGAGTCGCGGTACCGAGACGTATGGCCAGATGCAAGTTACCATTCAAGACGTGCAGGAGCTGGCCACTTACTGCATCCGCAGCTTCCAAATAAGTCGGATCGGCGGACAGGGCGCTACCGGCGAGAGAAGAGAAGTAAAGCAGCTGCAGTTCACTGCCTGGCCGGACCACGGAGTGCCCGAGCATCCTGCGCCCTTCTTGCAGTTTCTTCGACGCGTGCGCAGCCTGAACCCGCCTGACGCCGGACCTCTGGTGGTGCACTGTAGCGCCGGAGTTGGGCGGACTGGCTGCTTCATTGTCATCGACTCGATGCTCGAGCGCATCCGCAGCCACGACAAGAGCATCGACATATATGGCCATGTGACATGCCTGCGTGCCCAGCGCAACTACATGGTCCAAACTGAGGACCAGTACATCTTCATTCACGACGCGCTTCTCGAGGCGGTGGTCTGCGGTCAGACCGAGGTACCGGCGCGCAACCTGCATTCTCACATGCAGCGCCTGATGCAGCCGGCCTCGGGTCCCGAGGCTCTGGGCCAGCCCGACGGCATCACCGGCATGGAGCTCGAGTTCAAGAAGCTGGCCAACATCAGGGTTGATTCGTCGCGCTTCATCTCGGCCAACCTCGCCTGCAACAAGCACAAGAACCGGCTTGTGCACATACTACCGTACGAGTGTACACGCGTCTGCTTGCAGCCGCAGCGCAACATCGAGGGCTCGGACTACATAAACGCCTCGCTGATCGACGGCTACCGATACCGCGCGGCCTACATTGCCACCCAGGGTCCTCTGACCGACACCACTGACGACTTCTGGCGCATGCTTTGGGAGCACAACTCCACCATTGTGGTTATGCTCACCAAGCTCAAGGAAATGGGCCGCGAGAAGTGCCACCAGTATTGGCCATCCGAGAGGTCGATACGCTACCAGTGCTTCGTCGTCGACCCGATTGCTGAGTACAACATGCCTCAGTACATTCTGCGCGAGTTTAAGGTGACAGACGCGCGGGATGGATCGTCGCGCACGCTCAGACAGTTCCAGTTCATCGATTGGCCCGAGCAGGGCGTACCTAAGTCCGTCGACGGCTTCATCGACTTCATCGGGCAGGTGCACAAGACTAAGGAACAGTTCGGTCAAGACGGCCCCATAACGGTGCACTGTAGTGCCGGGGTCGGACGCACCGGCGTCTTTATCACCCTCAGCATTGTTCTTGAGCGTATGCAGTACGAGGGAGTCGTCGACATATTCCAGACCGTCAGGATACTGCGCACACAGCGCCCGGCGATGGTGCAGACCGAGGTAGGCTTTACACATAACTCTTGATCCATGTCACTTCGATTTCATGATGCTTAAATGTTGCGTTATATAGGACCAGTACCAGTTCTGTTATCGAGCCAGCCTCGAGTACCTGGGTTCGTTTGACCATTACGCCAACTGACAGCCAGACAGCCGAGAGTCGGCCGCCAGCTCAACTTTGGCCTATCGTAGTGATCGTACACGGCAAAGCCAGCGCGAACACGATCGGACAGCCAAGGTCAGGAAGGTCTAGTGGTACGATGAGTCGTCGTCGTCGCCGCCGTTCCCACCGGCAACACAAACTCAGCTACAGTCACAACCACAGCTGCAACAACAGCAGCAACAGCAACCACCGCGTCCACATCGCCGACAGCATCCCCATCCACCTCCGTCATCGGGCTTCTCGGCCAGCCACTTCGACGACTCTTAATCATGACCTCCATCTCGCGTGTCGCTCAGCTCTACCAAAGTCATCGCCGATGCTGCTACGCATTTTATATTTGATTGACAACAATTGTTTGATTAGGAATATACGTGTAATCGACCATCTGACTTGACCAAGTTTCTAAACTTTGCTCATCACTGCCAATTTTAATTATAGTCGACTTTTCGGTAATTTTTTAATCAATTTTAACTTATAAATGTTATTAAATATTTTTTGTTAGATCGGTGTTTATTTTTACAATCGTTAATTTCTTTTTATCTCAAAGATATCCAACAGTGCATTTAAACATTAATACTTTTTAAACTCAATCGTGACCACGTTACTACTTGTTGTATTAATGCCAAAATAAGGCTGCGAGTAAGTTTTTTACTTAATTTTTCTATAAATCATAAAGACAAAACTAATCATGTTGTCCACTCTTTCTGAGATTGGAAAACAAAAACTACGTTTTTCAAAGGATTATTCTTAATTTTGAAATAAATCGTCAACGTTATTTATGTAAACAAAGACAGAATACAGAGTGAGAGAGAGAGAAAGAGAGAGAGAGAGAGAGAGAGAAAGAGAGAGAGAAAAAGAGAGAGAGCGTGTGTATGTTTAAGAGTGTGTGTTTTGCGTATTGTATGGGAATGTATAAAGGTCGCAATTACACTGCCAAATTGATAAATGACAAGTACGGATACTTTTTATTTTAATTTAGCCGGCTCTCGAGCAAATTGATAAATGACAAATATTTACGACTGCAAAAAATATTCTTCAAAACTTCATTAATTTTAGTATATAAGTGATTATTGTAATATTAGCCAAGTGAACAAAGAAATATAAACAGTGCGTGATAAACGAATGAACAGTGTACCATCGTACAAAAAAATTGTAATATTAACAAGATCTAAATGTACGTATGTAATGGGCATGAACGTTTCATGCCCTCGTCCGTGTGAATAGTAAACAAAATTTACACATATATGTATATATATATATACATATACGTATGTATCAACAATGAATGTTAAGGCATCAATTTTTGTTGTCCTGTGAATCTCGCTGTCCACTGTTGCGTGCATATTGTACAAAGTTCATCTTGATGTTTTTATAAAGAACGATTTGAACCAAGAAAATATAATTGAATAGCGTATAAAAAACAAAATCCTTTTACAAAATGTTCGTTAACTTATCAGCAATTTTTACGATAGTTGGATGAATATTTTACATCGGGCAAACAATCTCAAATAATAATCGGTCGGTCTTCGTGATAATTGCAATTTTTTTATTGCATATGCCTAACTTAATTCACTCAATATGAGCGATAATATACTATAATCGAGCGTTTCGGTATGGAAATATCGATTATAAACCAGTTAGTATAATCCCAATTGCTTAATCATGCAGGCCGAGCATTATTATGACTTCCCTAAGCAATAAAATAATTATTCAAATATATTTTGGAAATCATAACGGCACTTTTAATTTAATATTATTGAGTTTATAATATTAGTCATTAATGTCAATAACAATTATTAGCAATTGAAATGATGGCGATTATTGGCAACACCTAGAAAGACTTTCTCAAATTTTGAAAATGAATTTTTAGAAACAATTGTGTAATTTTATTTGGATCTTGGTACAAAAATATTATTTTCTACTATAGTACATGAAAAAACAAAGCTTCCTTTCCAAGGAAGCAAAAATATAATCGAGTAAATCGAGAACAGGAATTCACTGTATGTATATAGAAGCACCACCACTTAACCTAAAAAATCAATATACGTTAAAAACGCAAGATATCTGGAGACGTTTATAATTATAAATGATAATTGTTTGATAGAAAAGAAAACCTCGTGAAATGACGGAAGGAAAGCAATTAATAATAGTATTATAGAATACCCCTTCCACCAAATGATAAAACAGAATTATCCATTGTAATTTTTAAATAAGAATGTATTTGAAGATTTAGTAATTGCTTGTAGATTACTGGTAGATTTTTATATTTGTTATAAAGTTCTGTCTTTTGTACCATTTTATTAAAGGGGTCCTTGCGTACACACACACACACACACACACACACACACACACACACACACACACACACACACACACACACACACTATTAACCAGCGTAATTTATTCTCAGAGTTCAGTTTGTAAAGAGCATGAAATTGATAATAATGTTTACGTAAGTAATAAAAGTGACATTCCCACAAATCACGTGTAATGCTTTGTCGAGAGTCTAACACATACTTATTAGAAATAGACATTTTTATTTTAAAAATATCATGTTATTAAAACTGAAACCGCATTAGTCTCTGAAATATATATATTTTACCATCATCTTTTGATTTTTGTTGTTTGTCAATTTGAATAAGAAAGAAGTTCTATTTTCGGTCTGACCTGAATTTTTTTATATGTATGTCCGTGCATATCTTTACAACAGTTCGATCAATTTGGTGGGAGCGAACTCGTTTGAAACGTATGTATGTGGAACGACCCCATTGTATTACCAACTTGATTGAATCATAACTTTACGAGTAATTGCAAACAATTTTGAAGTCGGCTTTTTTTTAATTAGTCTTGTAATTGTTTCTTGTTTAGCTTGAATACTTATTTATTTATTGGCTATACCAACTACAAATCTCTCCATTTAATCATAATTTTTAACAGTGAGTAATGTAATGCTTTAAAATACTTAAATAATAAAGAGGATTACATTTTTTACTTATATAAAAAAATTAATATCCGATCAATAGCAATTTTTATAACAATATTAATGCTGACGGAAAAACGACTCATAGTCAACGACAATAATAATATGCGACTCGTGCAAAAACTTACATAAAAATAAAAATTACGTTTTCCAAATAAAACCATTTACAAAGAGCTCTTACAATTTAAAAAGGTTTATTGTAAAAGAAAAACATTGCTTCTTCACGGACATTCAATATTGGCTTTCGACGTGCATTCTACACGTTTTATTACCGTTATAAAAATGGAAGTCAAACGGGGAATTTCTTCATTGCAGAGGATCAAGAAATATTAATTTAAGTGATTTTTTTTAATTTGTTTATAACTCGCAAGAATTCATAAACGTGTTATTGGTATGAATGAAAATTTTTATGACTAATAAATAATATGCGACATCGAAGAAAATTGAATTAATTGAAGAATAAGACTTTTTGTTTGCAAGGCGATTCGTTTTATTTATTAAAAATTATTCAATTGTTCTACAGTTGTTAATCTGATAATGTAAGACAGCATTCTCAGAGTAATAGCAATCGACTGTGAAATTATGTAGAGATAGGCTCTTGCAAAGCAAAACTGTATATTGTATTTTTTTTTTATTTAAATAATCAGTAAACATTTTTATGTAATATCAAATGACGAAAAACGGGAAATTTACTTCCTGTTGTATACGAAAACTATTTTAGATTCTGATGAGATGAGTACAGGATTGCAGATCTTTTTAAAGACTTTTCAAATTGAAATTTAGTTAATTATAAACGGAAGATCCTTTTCTATAATCTACTATGTATAAGTGCTATAAATAAAACTTTGTTTCACTACACCTCGTACATTTTATTTGTAACTTTTAATTCAATTATCTGCAGTCGTCCAGTATTTTTTCCGCAACATGTGCTAAAATTTTATAAATGCTGCGGAATTGCAATACAATCTCAAAATTTGAAATATTTCATATACTAAACATATCACATAATGCACTAAAGTGCCATTTATAAGACTTGATTTTTTCTATCCTTTACTATTTGTCTTTTTTCTTGACACCAAATTTACTAAATATAAATAATCAAGTATGAAAACCAATAACGAATATTTAAAAAAAGGCGCAAGAATAACATGATGGTAACGGGTGTAATTAAAAAAACTGTATATGGTGTATTCAATGGAATATTAACAAAAAAATTATTGTTAAAAGGGTGGAAATTTATTTTGTGATACTTTCTTGACAGAAAGAATACAACAGGCTAACACAAAAGTACTGATTATAATATTGGAAATTTGTAGTTAAAAGAAGTTATAAATAAATTGATACTGTGTAATAGACGTTGACAAGAAAAATAGTGTGTATATTGCATATGCTGACGGACGTCAATAAAACGTCAAATAATCTATTATTGGAAATGTTTATATTATGTTCATTAACCTTCCTCATTGAATAGCTGTTTTTCTTCTTTAGTAAAATACTTTCAGTAGATTTAACTGTTGAGAATTTAAACACTTTATTTTTTTATACAAGCAGAATATTCATGATAGATAAATAGAAGTCTTTTCATTGAAAAAAAAAATTAATCTTTCCACTTGACCATGAGAATTTTATAATAATTTACAGGTAAATGTGTTTTTTTTCCTTTTATTGATTTTCGCACACTTTATTGCAAATAAGCAATGTACCCATTAAAAATATTTGCTTTTAAAATGTAATTTTGAATAAACTATAGAATATTATACTTGATTTGGATAATTATGAGGACGAAAATAAAAAATACAAATGCAAAAATTATTTAAAAACGTTACTTTATGAAAAATTGTATATGAATGTTTAATTTAATTTAATTTACATTTATATAAATAAGTAAATAACTAGATGCACATCACATTCTTTTTAAATCGTAATTTATATTTTTTATATAACATTTGAAGTATCACTAAAATTTCTAGAAGGTGAATTTGAATTTTTAGTCATCATTGAAGCCATCTGTAGAAAAGTTTAATATATTATAAGTTAATTTGTAACACCTATAACATTGATGCATGGGTATATTTTGTATAAAACATATCTTACATTTTGCAGTACTTGCTTCTTGAAAAATTCTGATGTGGCTGAAGAAATATTTTTATCTCCTCCTGTTTTACACTTTACGTATCCATAAAGATTAGATCCATTCAAAATTATGGCAATCAAAGCAAGAAGTAGCCACTTTGGATTCAATCCAAATAGAGCAATCAAAAAGAATATACACCACAGCAGAGGTGATAAAATCAGTGCTAACCAAAATATTCTTGCCTCTGAAGGGTTTATTCGATTCTGATGAGCACCCTGAAAAAAAGGGTATTTACTAGATTATGACTTTAAATTAACCAACTATTAGTTACAATTAAATGCAAAGTATTATTAAAAAAAAAGTATTTTGTAGCTTATTTTAAACTTTTATAGAAACTACTTCTTCAAACAATATAACAAAATTAAAAAAATTGAATAAACCTTTCTTGATTCAAACACCCAATGGCTAATTCCATTATCATCTACATAATTCCACCATCTAAGTCCAACCATTAATCTTCCAGTTACATTCTTGACAGTCCAAAAATCCATAGACAAAAGAAGAACTACAATTACAAAGCTTACTATGAAACCACTGGTAAAAATTCCACAAAACATATAAACAACTATGGCTGATACTCGAAAAGCCAGATGGAATAAAGTAACATATGGGTGCCTGTAATGTTATCATTATATAAAATGTGGTCATTGATTACTTTTACAAAACTATGTATTCAAAGAATATTTCTTACATAAATTGATTTTTCCCTTCATTTTCTTCTCCAAATGCTATAGTATCATCATCCATTATTTGTTTTCTTATGACACTGGTTCAATAATTGAAGAAAAACAATATTAATTTCTTGTCAAGGTTATAGAACATTAATTAATGATCAAATAAAAAAAAACTGCGTTTTAATAAATGATGTTGATACCCAATAACTTAAAGTATGCTTTTAAAAAGGCTATGCTGGAAAAGACAGAAGGTTAAAAATGTATACAAGAGTACATTGGTGATTTCAAACAGTGAACTATTACATTTCAAACTTTTTTCTAGAGATTGCATTACAAGACTAGAGATTAACTAATTAAAAAATATTGATTCCTTTTATCTGCAATCAACGCTTAGTTTCAATATACTTGCTAAAGTGTTTGTGTAATATTTTTAACGTAAAAAAAGATACCCCATTCACTGAGAAAAATGAAAACTCTATAAGCAGTAAATAGTTACAACAGAATATATAGAGATTACTTACGTCAATTAACAGTTAGCCGAAACGTCTAATGGATATAGTGGTTTTAACAATGTATATACATTCATACACGTTTACAGATAGCAGACTGTTTTCAATGAAAAAATTTTTAATCTGGTGTGCAAGTTTTTATACGGCTTTAATAGACAAGACTAATTAGTAGTTTGCATTTCTATTAAAAATTCAATATAATTAGAAAGTTTTATTGAATTTTCACACGTATATATTACATTAATGATATTATATTGTGGATTTGATTGCGTTGCATGCTTTCGATGCAGACGCCATGTTGATTAACGCGCTTGCGCTCTGTGTCTTATTTAGGTCTACTCTGTTAGTGATGGCTGCATACAATCTAGTTGCAGTTCTACTTAACCGCAGCGTGTTTTTTATTATTTTACGTTTTTTTGAATTTCTGAAGAAACCTCAACAAAATTTCTAGTAACTTTTACGTAGTAGCTTATTATTCAGAGGTTAATTACAGAGTCAAGCTATAAATAAAAGTGTATTATGTACAATGTAAAACGTTTGTATAATAAACGTTATTTGTTAATATTTGATGCAGAATAGAAATTATTCATAGGCATATTCCACGTACTCACGTCAACTACACTATAGTTTGAATTCGATTGTTCGTAAGTACACTCTTATGACTATATAAATAGAAGTTAAAATAATCGTGACTGAAACCATGTCTTTTTATATTGGTTCACTGAATTCATGACATGTAATAAGAATACACAACAACATAACGGCTTAAAAATTTGTTTGTCACTTAAATTCAAACATGATCTTTGACGTATACTGCGCTCTATATCCGAACACATTGTTTAGGTCGATATTTTGTTCTTATTCATTGGGGATCATCCTAGTATTTATACAGTATGTGTATCGTCCGCACTTTCTGGAAAAGTATAGAAGTCATAGGTCTTGTAAGCGATGCAGTAATATTTCTAATGCGCTGACATTGTAACATCATTCGGTGCAATAAGTTTAATAAACCCCTTTAAATTTTCTATTAAAAATTAGCTGATTTACACTTTAGTTTCTTGATCGTAAAATAAAAAATTGAAAAAATTAAGAAAATCAATTACATATTTCATTTTTATTTTCATTCACTAAGTAGCGTGCGTTGAATGAATTCGACGGAAATAGATCTAAACGATAAGATAATATGTTGACTATCACATTATACATTTAATAATTTAGTAACTTGTGTGTGCGTAAAATATAATTGAAAATATCCAGATATACAAAATAATCGACTGGTTTTTTTAAATCTAGGAAGGTCAGTAAATATCAGTCGATATTATAAGTTGGCAATTGGAAAATGTGCAGCTACAAATTAAATATGTCAATGAAAGTGAGAGCAAAAAGTTAAAAAACCTTGAAACGCACACGCGGAAATGTCTAAAGTGAGAAGATAAAGTCGAGAAAAAAAGGAAAGGACCGTTATGCTTTAAAAAGTGCTGCAGAAGATAAATTAAAAATATTGACGATCGCAAAGAGGAAGAATAAAAAGTTTTCGAGTCTTATAGATGAAATTGCGAATGCTCAGCAGACGGATACGTTGTTGTATAAGGTGGTGGGGTCGCCAAGAGATAAGGTAGATCAAGAGCACTTGGTAGCATTATTACAAAGCAGTTGCGGCGACAACAATCCGACGTACCTGCTTCGAAGAAACGCAGCTCCACCACAAGGATGTTGCGAGAATATTCACCGGTGACACAGGCTCTCTTAGGCACCCTGCTTACATGGGCACTCACTGCTGCTGGCGCCGCTCTCGTCGTTGTTATTCGCGGTAAACAGGTAGGTAATCGCCCACATTGCTTAATCAACTGTTCGCTCGCATATTCGTCTTTTCTTTGAGAAAGGAACGCTTTGTCGCTTGTCTCTGATTTAATCTCGAATACGATGCTTGCAAGTCGAATAAAAAACTTACATTTTATTGTTGCATAAAAAATGTCATTCTTTATCAAAAACTCTCGGTAATTGTTGTCATCGCTTGTATAGTCGGTTGATATCTTTCAAGCAACTGCTCTGATAACAATTAATAACATTTTTTGAATAGAGTAAGAACATGAAAATCTATTGAGATCATCGTGCGCGAGTTCGTTGTCTCCAAAAAACGAACTGATCTAATCGCAGCGTACTCTCTAACTGTATACATTACTCATACCAAACAAATTGACCACTTAAAATATGCACATATAGCTTAATACTCATATAAATTTTTAGATTGGACCTAGCATGCTAAAGATGTATATTTTTGTATTCATTGAGAACCTAATCACATTTTTTAATTAATCAACTTGAAACAATGTATTGTTGAAACAATATTATTATTTATATCTTAGAATATGTCGATAGATATAATAAAATAGATATAATCTAATAAAATAGACAAGGGGATGGAGATACTGTCGATCCCGAGTTTGTTTAAAAGCAAAAATATATCGTATACTTTATAATTACCAACGTAAATCGATAAAATAACAGTTTTTAAATCTACCAGCATTGTTATTTATGTGTTGTTTGGCATTGGTACTTTGAAAACGCGAACAAAAACAAACAAGCGTGTGAAACCCAAATAAAATAATTTTTCGCTTTGTATTTAACGAAATATTAACAATTTATTGGTATTTTAAGTATTGAATATCATTATGTTTATGCATATGAATTTGCATAAACGTATATATGCTCAGCTATCTGAAACTACATCCTTGAGTGTCCATTGGAAACTGTATTAGAAAGCTGTATTGAAAAACATTCAAACAATTAATATGCGAGAAAAACTACTATAAAATCCGTGTGCAATGAACTTAATTGGGACCACAGTTATAAAAAAAATCTCGTAAAGTTGGTTCATTCAATATACATATCTCGCAAAAATTTAATCCAGGATTTACCTACAATTCATGAAAAGCTAAAGAATCAATGCATATATAAATTATATCTTGTTTTATCATCGATATTATTGGTGGCCAATATTGTTGGATAGCACATTCTAAATCTTATTTCGTACATAAATGAAATAACGATTTTATTATTAGAATGAATGCTCAATGAATAACAAATTCTTTATATTTTCGATCTTTTGTATTATTAGACTACGCGCACGACAAAGTCAGCGAAGTAATTGATGAAATTACGGATTCGATTTTGTATTTGTTTTGTCCTAAGAGTATTGTCTTATCAATATAAAATGTAATATATAAGAGGTGATTCGCAAAATAACTGGTCTTTAAAACGTTTCAGAGGAAATTGCTGGACGGAAGCTTAGGTTTTGCTGCTGGCGTAATGGTCGCAGCAAGCTATTGGTCTTTACTCGGCCCAGCAATCGAAATGGCTAAGGAGAGCAAATTTTACGGAGTCGAGGGTGAATATGCGTTCGTACCAGTGAGCATTGGCTTCTTACTGGGAGCAGCATTTGTGTTCGGCACTGACGAGCTCATATCGAGCCTTGGCATCATATCGAGCCTTGGCATACAATCGCCGAATGTGCTCTTAGCCATGCAATCCGTTGGTACGCAACACAACAACAAATCACTCCATCAAAGATATACCCTCGGCAAACAAAAAAGTGATACAGAAGATTTTAACACTGATAGCAGCCCACTTAGTTATATTTCTTATGCATCCGAAGTACCCAAAGTATGCACCCAAGTCGAGTCGTCTACTATAGATGGTATCCCCCTTAATTAAAATATTATATATGCATACTTCACAATTGCTCTTCAAACTCTTTATCCAACTAACATTATTTCTCAATTTTCTTGTTACGTTATTATGCACATGTTCTCTTTTTCTGTTTGATTCAACCATGTACGTTATTACTTCCATTGACGTTATTATTTCCCTCAATAAATCTACGGGATGATTGTATCCCTTGCTGTTAGAGCGGATTTTATTCAGCATTAAACATTTGTATGAAAATTAAAATTTATTAGGTTAACTACTGTTTCAGGATTCTATGAGCAGCATGCTCGAAGAAGAATACCGATTGGCACTTCTAGGACAAATCAACAAATCGAAGTTGGCACTTTGTACGAGGATCCTAGTAGTGAGGCTAAGAATAATCAGTGGAAAAGGATACTGTTACTTGTTGTTGCGATAACTGTAGGTTTGAATGATTGAGTGTATTTTTTCGCTCTATAATTTCCTATCAATTTATTCAGAAATAAAAAGCTGTTATAGCCTCGTTACGTTAATGCGCTGATCGATTAGTACAATTTATTGATTTTACATTTTATTTCTTTGTTGTTAAATATTTCAAGACAATCTGATTACTTTTGACAGGTACATAATATTCCCGAAGGATTGGCTGTAGGAGTAGGCTTTGGTGCTGTAGGAAGTAGCGCATCGGCAACTTTTGAAAATGCAAGGTTAGTTAGCTTATGATTAATGTTATTTATAGGTAAATTGAGCGAGTGAGAATCTCGAGAAACATTCTGGCCAACCGAGAACTCTCGCAGAATTTTCTTTGCTTCTACACCAGCCGGTTAACATCCGCACGATATATAGTAAAGTGGAGGTCGCTGCTGGGTAAAGAGAACTATTCGTGGTAGGAGGTCCGTATGAATGAACGGCATGGTGGTGGTCACGAGTGCAGCGCTGCCGACTATCACTCGAAGACAAACCTCATTGGCACGCTAGCAGCTAGTTTTTCTTACGCTCGTTCTTTTCCTCTCTGTCTCTCTTTCCTCATCTCTTTAACGTCTATCTTCTTCCTTCCTTCCTCCTTCTGTTTTTATCTTTTGGAATTGTTTGGAAAACTTCAAACGGAATGCACATACAGCATCGGACGTTCTAAATTCCAGAACAAGCTTCCTTTATCATTATAAAAATGTGGAATCTTTCTTAGACTTAAATCTTGCACCAGGATAAATTTCTCCAAAATTATTCATTTATTGGCACGACTACAATATCATAGGAAATCCTAATATTTGAAAAATTCTTTTCTGTTTTCTTTGAAATTAAAAAAAAAGCTGAAATAAATTATTACGATATTTATCAAAAAAAGCCTTCGCGTATTTTCAATTAGTAATTTTAAGAAGCAATACCATCAGTCGTCATTTAATTACATTTGCTCTTCATGAAATGACTGAAGGCATGAAACTTTTTAAAATTTTAGTATGAAAAAGAAAAGATTTGTAAAAGTTGACAGTACTGTAGATAACGTTGAATGGACGTATAATTTCGAAGCTGAAAATATGAAGCGCGAGATGATTTTAAAGGAAGGAAGGAACGAAAGAGCCACTAAGCTGAGAGAAAGAGCAGAAGTAGAGGGAGTCGTGGAATGCATGGGAACAAGCTGTGCCACGAGAATAAGCGAATGAGCCAACGAGCGAGCTGGCTCGACCGCTCGATTCGCCAGTGCAGCCGCATTCCACAATCAACGAGAGAGAAAGAGAGAGAGAGTGAAAGAGAGAGAGAGAGAGAGAGAGAGAGAGAGAGAGAGAGAGAAGAGAGAGAGAGAGAGAGAGAGAGAGAGAGAGAGAGAGAGAGAGAGAGAGACATACAGACAAACAGAACCGCTGCTGAAGCTGCTGGATTGCTTCAAAAGGAATGAAAACTATTGAACTCATCTTTTCTATTATACCATTTAACTATTTCCTTTTGTTTGCCTTTTAACGCTTGTCCCTATGTTTGCGTGTTTCTCTCCCGCAGCGCGTATCCCTATGATCATTATAACTTCCCTTTGTCTAGTGTGTTGAACTAGTGTGATCTTTAATTTTCATTCATAAGCGTTTAACTTCACGAGTTCTATATTTTTGAAGTGATTTTTCTGCCTTATAGATTATAAAGGAAAATAAAGGCCATTTGAATATCTTGTTGCATACTAACACGTAAGATTAAAGGAAATGATGGTGTCAATCGAGAAAAACTACTTATACACGAGAAAGGAAATAAGCTGGTTGGAAGAATAAGAAAGATGGAAGGGAGGAAGAGAAAGAGCGAGAAAAGGAGAGAGAGAGAGAGAGAGAGAGAGAGAGAGAGAGAGAGAGAGAGAGAGAGAGAGAGAGAGAGAGAGAGAGAGAGAGAGAGAGAGAGAGTCGCGACGAAACTTACATTCCGTTCTCACGAGCGGACATTGACCGGCGTTTCGTTAGTACAGATTCCGCTAACTCGCTTACTTACATCTTGCTTTCTCTCTCTCTCTCGCTCTCTCTCGCTCTCGCTCTCTCTCTCTCGCTCTCTCTCTCGCTCTCTTTCTCTCTCTCTTGCTCTCTTTCTCTCTCTCGCTCTCTTTCTCTCTCTCTCTCGCGCTCTCTCTCTCTCTCTCTCTCTCTCTCTCTCTCTCTCTCTCTCTCTCTCTCTCTCTCCCTCTTATACTTTTTATCTTTTTTCTATTGTCATTTTTTAAAATTGACAACTCAAAAGATTTAATGAAAGATAATATATTCAAAATATCATGGACTTATAGGTGGTATATGAAAATTTGGATTGCAAATTGTTGCCTATCTAATTAAAAATATTCAGTTATCCAAGTAAACTACAAAATAAAGAAATACGTTTTCAACTATTTATATACTTCAAAACAAATAAAAATTGTGCAAAGATTGCTATTGCAAAGAGAAGAAAATTATTTAATTATAAGCAGAAAAATGTACTTGTCCCCATTTTTGTGGTTTGAAATAATTTATTTTCATTGACTTTAAAGCCTGAAGTAAAAAGTTTGAATTCCAGTACCTGTACATTTTATTTGAAGATATATTCATGGTTGAATATTGAAATTTATATGTATGAAATCAAGTTTTGCATATAGATTTATTACGGCAATATAAGTTATTATCAATAACTCGATATTGATTTTTAATTTTTAAGTTTTATGATTATTATAAAATTATGCTGTGCACGCAAAAAATTGAATATGATTATTATTTATGTTTCAGAAATTTAGCTTTTGGTATAGGTATTCAGAACTTTCCCGAAGGTTTGGCAGTGTCGTTACCATTGCAGGCTGTTGGTTTCAGTACATTTAAAAGCTTCTGGTATGGACAGCTATCAGGAATGGTTGAGCCACTGGCCGGTGTACTGGGTGCTGCTTGTGTCACTTTTGCCGCGCCTGTACTACCTTACGCCTTAGCATTTGCAGCTGGCGCTATGATTTATGTAGTAATTGACGACATCATTCCTGAAGCACATCAAAGGTACTTAATTAAATCGAACAACATGGGTAATTACGATTCAACTAGTGCTCAAATTGCTTATAAAAAGTTTATCTGAAGCTTAAAAACCAAACAAAATTATATAAAATGAAACCTTATTCGGTTATTTTTCGGTTCTCATAATCATTAAAAACATATCTTATTTTGTGACTCGAAAGTTGTAAATTGCCCAAAATAAGTAAAATTGTTTGCAGTGGTGATTTTATCAAAATTTTGCGAAATATGATGTTATCAAATTCATGAATTGATTTGATTTAGGCCTTTTCTTTAAAAGAACTTGGCCAGCTTCTAAACTGCTTAACACGTATCTGAGGCCATTTTCGTTCCCTACAATAGTGCTTTCAAGGAGGACATTTCTTTTTTCAGCGGCAATGGAAAACTAGCCAGCTGGGGCGCTGTTCTTGGTTTTTTGGTGATGATGTCGCTAGATGTTGGCTTAGGTTAAGAGACGTAATTGCGACGAAGGATTTGATAAAATATTTGAGGTAAATTTAGCTTCTAACGTTTGGGAAGAGAACGCTGAAGCTAAAACTTCGAAAATACATGCATACATTATGCATCGAACTGAAGAGTCATTGTATGACTGTACGATTTTTTATAAAAAATGCATTTCGTAAAGCGTGTTAAATATTGATAACCGTGTACTAATTTTATCGATGTTGTATATTTTTACTAAAAAGTACGCAGCACAACTTTTTTGCATTTACAATTCTGTACCGTGTAAGTTTCAACTCAATTGTAACGACAATAGCATTTAGCGAAAGCCTAATTATTGAACAGGTCATAAATAAAGTGATATAAAAATTGCGAGGAAGGTATAAGTTAAGAAGAGATAATAAAGAGGCTCAAAAGTATTAAAATAATAGCACCGTAAATTATTAATTAAAAGTAAAATATTAAACACTCGGTTCTTGATTCGAAATTTTACTTACACATTTTACCTAGACATGCAAACGCAATAAAGGACTTAGTATTTGAGTCAGGAGAAAAACCGGAAAATGATAGTTAGATCAAAGCACTTGAACGAAAATCCCTCGTCGTGATGACAATCTCGGAGAGGCCTCCGTTGTTTGCCCGCTCACATTAGCTTTTTTTAATCTACACGAGGTTGCGCGTTCAAACTTACAAAAGAGGAAGTCTCACGGGCTTGCCTTCGGTTTACTTTGCTTACGGGGTAAACAAGGCTTGATAGGTTCATCGCTTACACCACTTACAAAAACATCTCTACAAGTCTTGAAGAGCTTGAGTGTGCACAAGTCTTTGTATGTCTCGTGTAGCTCTCATCTCTTTTCATTATTTCTCCAACGCGTATTCATGAGTATTGAGCTCAATGCGTTAAATTGCCATGCAACATTTCTTTGCAATGTTCATTGAAAAGCACGTTAGGTATGACGGCTCTCTGACAGTGCACCTAAAGAACCGCTTGTGTACATATATATAGATGGATCGCAAAACCGAGAATTTATATAAACATTTTAAAATGTAACGATGAAACTCGCGACCTCTATTTCCCATCATAGTTCAGCCATTTCACTAGGTCTATTTTCTCTGTCCAGCCATTTTAAAGTGTCTGCGATATTTCGAGAGGCCGGGCACTCTTAGACATTTCCTTCTCTTATGTCTAGCGTGGGGAATGCCATTTTATTTTTAGAGACTCTAGAGGGCAAAACGTGTAACCGAAGTTTAATTCAAGGATTAAATCCGTAGTTACCTATCAAGGCTTTATTTGTTGCATCATTTGCTAATATATATTGAAAATGGTTGACTGAATGGGTAACAAACTTCTCTTCCAAATTTTACTTATTGAGCTGATCAATTCAAACTGTTGCAAATTTTCTGAATTATTAATCGTCTACAAGTGATCAAGTATATTATCACCGATGCAATGTACAATGGGAAGAATTTTAAAAAAGTACATAGAAGCCGATAGTTGAGAAAACGAAATTATTTAAACTTTCACGAAAATCCTAACAATCATTTGCACAGTTGCAATAAAAATAAAGTATTGAAATTTGCAACAGCTAATATTGTTAGAGATCCAATTTACACGTGGCTTATATTAATTGATAACTTTCAAATTATTCTTAACTCTGATAATTTAAGATCAAAGTTTAATCTCTTGGAGTTGATATATAATATATTTGCAAGCCGCTTATCCGTAGAATCGTCGGTTCAGCCGAGCAACGCAGACGGAAGCCTGTTAGCCAAAATGAGAAGTAGACAGTTATGTTAAAAATGCATTATCAAGAAATTGCTCAATGCAAATTTCACATTTAGACATTGATAGCTCCTAGCCAACACTACGGCTGTGAACAAGTAGATATTAAATAACCAACTACTTTAAATCAACATATTAATTTGCAACAGAGCGATTGCATATCAAATTGATTATAAATTACAGTATTAATATGTCATTCATCAAATAACGTTAACCGCACTTTAATTCGATATATTGGAGTCTGTCGTAAGATATTTAATGAAAAATATTATTATTTAACACAATTCTGCTCTTCTTTCTCGAGAAAACTATTTTTGCAGGGATTCAAATATTCCAATTCTTGGTTCGTTTTTTTTTTTGTAAAATAATTTTTTTTGTATATGCTCAAACATAACTAAAATGGTAGGACAAGACTTATTTTAATGAATATTTATATTTCGATTTTAATTCATTATCAATTTTTTAATAATCACCGCAATTAATTGACCTATAAAAACAGATAAAACTTAAAAATGACCCCTACTACTAGTTTTTTTTTTCTTTTTTAAGAAATCATTTTTGAATTGTTGATACTTTGTACACATGAGAGCATAATTTTATTTATATAACTATGTATAAATATCCATACATTATATATGTACAGAAACGAGACGAAGAGAGAAACAGGGACAGAGGAAATGGATGTGACAGAGAGGGGGGAAAGACCGAGCTAGAGCACGAAAAAGGGAGAGGGAAAGAAGGAGAATGAACCAGCTAAGCCGCTGGCCTATTCAGTGAATTCAGTCCTCATCCGCCAGCCGGTCATTCACGAAATATGCATGCTATCTTTATTCCGGTCGCTCATCTTAATCTCGCATTGTTTTTTTTTTCTATTGTGCTTCGGCAATTTTTTCGTTGCGAGTTCACGAACTTTGTTCGACCATTTCTGCTATTCGAAACGACACTTTAATCGAAGACCAACAAATTGAGAAGTACTGTTTAAATCACAGTTAAGTGCAAAATTTGTGTGCATAAAATTTTTCAGCGGCATGTCTTTGTACAAAAAGAAAAGAATCAAGTTCCATAACCTCGAAAAAGATACGCGTGCGCTAAGCACTTGGTGGAAAGAGAAATCGTGTTGGTGATATATTCGCACGTATTTGCTGCTACTACTACCACCACTATAAGTTGTGTGAAACATCCGCCGGATAACTTGTGGGAAGAAGGATGTCACTGATTATAGAAAATTCTATTTTACAAAAGTTATCTAAACGGAAGAAAATAAAAATAATTCTGGTACGTCGAAAGAATATTGTCATTCAAGAATATCAGCGGAATTTCATTAACTTTTTTATTGCAAGAGGATAAGTTTCTGTTATTAGGTAATGTCGAGTTTTTTTCTTAATTTTTAGTATTAATAATAGTAAGTGCATAATAACTAACAACTAAACTGGCATCTGTCTATTCACAATCTACTTAACAACAGTTTTATTAATATTATCGGAATATTAACATTCTCGTCGCGGACGATCGTCTGTTCATTCATTTAAATTACTCTAGATTGATTGAGACTACGTTGGTTGGAGATATTTATTATTCGCTCGTTAGCATACTAATACGTGAAACTGCAAGTAATTTGCTGGGACGAGCGAATTCTATATCCATTTGTCTCGCGTATAACTGCGCAAATTAATGTTACTTTGAAAATTGCTCTCATTTCAAAAAATAAAAAAAAGAAAACCTCTCAATATTTCAACATTAAAATAATTATAACAAACTAGCTGAAATTACTTTACGGCAAAAATTTAAAAGTTGGACTAACTCTCCGGAACGATGTAGTTGAACAATTATGTGAAATGACTGAACTAAAATAACACTGACAAACTGTTAACCAGAGGTAAGTTTCTCGTAGTTTGTATCAAGTTTCACGGTATTGAAATATTTTCAATCGAAGTCGACCGAACTAAAAATTTGCAGCTTTGGTATCAGTTTTAATTAAATTATAGGTGTGCCGTGAAATTATTCTTTTTCTTTACTTATATAATTTTATGCAAGGTCAACGAGCCGTCACGATGAAAACTTTGAAGTTTATTTAATATTCGCGTGTTTGACATTTCCGGTAGTAGATATATAAGCTGCTGTCAAGCCCGTTGAGAAGGTTTAGATGAAGAAATGGAAAATGAAATTGTTTAAAGCCAAGGCTTTATAAACTGGAAGCACGTAGACGTAGGCTTGAGATCATCGCGCAACAAGTTTTCACATGTCAGACGCATTTCCAAGATCACTCGTGTATGGCAGACGGCTGAGCCCCTCTCTCGCATATTTGTTGCGTGACACTAGCGCAGTACATAACGGCTATCGTTCCCATTGACTTTTCTCGTACCGACTGTGTACGTATAGCTTTTAGACATGCCGTTACAGTAGTCACGTTCCACATTGGAATTTCGACAAGTCTATAACCGACTCCGCGAGCTAACGACGCGGAAAAATAGGTAATTTCCTCCTCCTGCGCGTTATTCAGCTAAGTTTCGATGAGGTAACGAAAAAATCTCAAAATGAGTAATAATGTATAAACAGGAGTACACGTAATGCAGACTGCTGGTCGCGGCGGACAACACGAGAGGGCGCTAAAAGTAGGGCCTTATACGGTGGCAATATCTCCTCCGCAACTCACGCAAGACGCGTTTCTGTCTACCTCGGTCATGGTTCTTTTTTCATGCTCGCCTTATTGCATTCCAAGAGAGATAGAGAAGAAGAAGCCGTAACTGGCTACCTTCGCCTCAACATTCCTTGCCCCCCCCCCCATACTCTCTCTCTCTCTCTCTCTCTCTCTCTCTCTCTCTTTGTTCGTTAATTAAACATCCACGCGTCATTATTGATTCAGCATTGATTTCGCATTCTTCACTAGATTTATGTCAATTGAGATGATATTCGCAACGAGAGAGAGAGAGAGAGAAAGAGAGAGAGACTTGCACAGTTGAGCAGCACTACTTCCACCCGCTCATGCCGACATTCGATCGAAAATGAAATAATTAAAAAACGACCGGAAACAAAGTCCAAGTGTTGCGAACAAGTATATAAGAGTGCTAATAATTTCTGAGGTAAATACGCTTTGAAGTGGGGGCCTTAATATAATGTATAATATTGAAACGGTGAATAGCCGCGTGGAATGCCTGCAAGGCCTCCGAGTTCGGTTTGCGGCTCTTTAAAGTTTAAAAGCCAGGCACGCACGCTAGAATTACAGAGAGCCCGTTTAAAGCTATATGAGCGAGCGAGAGGGGAAATAACTGCTCATCCGACTCGCTCGTTCCTTTCTCAGTTCGTTCGTTTGTTCTTCGGCTCGGCTCTCGTGTACGCAGTAAATGGCTTTTAGATACGTATATATTCCTATTTCTCATTCATCCGCCGACTTTAGTCGTGTACATCATTACTATTAGGAGTATTACTATTATTAATTCCTTCTCTCTCTTGCACGCTGCTGTCGAGCGGCTGTTGCATTTTATTTCCGAATAATGAGTCTGCGAGTCTGAACTGCGACTAGTTTGCAGATAAATTAAAAATTCTTTTAGCAAAGACCGCTTTCGTGAAAGACATCAAGACAGGCAACGACGTTGTTCGTTCGGTCGAAAAAACCTTTT